TGTGGATCGGGGAGATTGGTGCTGGCCGAGACTCGGACAGAATCACCACACCAAGAAGACTCCTCTCCACCAGGTCACCACGAAGATTATGTAATACTATCAGTCCCTGCTCCCCAAGGTGGACATTCGCGAGGAGCTGTACGCCAGGTGGTACAAGCGTGGCTGGGTGCCTGATACGAAGCTGCAGAGGGGGACACCGAGAGTATAGGCAGGAGAGGTGGTGCGGGCTGCCATTCTCTGGGCCATCTGGACCTCGCGGAACGACAGAATCCGTGAATGAAGGCAGACTACTCCGATACAGCTCAAGCAGCTATCTTTGGAAGGATTGCGGGCGGCACTCTCGGCAGAGGCGGTTAGAATCGGAAAGTCGAACGGAGCAGGACTTCAAAAGTTCTGGAGAGTCTGGGGAGGATATCCGGAGGGGGCATGGAGGGGGCGTGGTCCAACAAGAGGGCCACGAGGGGGCATGGAGGTTCGGGCCGCTTCTTAGAGTAGAAGGATCTGCATAGGATTAGGTAGACAGTAGTGTACCGTAATAGATCATTGGAGAATTGCCTGATTGATGTGTGTGATCGTGTACCATAATAGATAGGTGAGTGAAAGGGATTTTCCTATTTGGGACATCTTGATTCTTGAACAACGTGTGTTTAGGGCATCATGCCCTGCCGTGCACGGACGGCCTCGAACCGGCACCCTCGGCCACAGGAACATCGTAACCACTACATTATAAAAACTGGATCCATACCGGTCGTGATATCCAGCCCACCTCCAGGGCTGCAGCGTCCTTGGTCTGAGTGGTGTGTCACAGTGGTACATAATCATTGTCAAGATTTTCAGCTGGGTCCTTCTGTTTTTTTTTTTTTTTTTTTTTTTTTTTCAGCTGGGTCTTAGTAACTCCGATAGAAATAGGTATACTGAGAAATCTTTAGGATGCAGTGAGTGCTGGTGGAAAATGACTGTTTTTATGGCTGTTCAAATAAGGGACATAAAAGACAGATAAAGTAAGTACCTGAGAGAAGGGGGAAGGATCAGAGGGGAAGGTTAAGTAATGTAGGGGGAAGTTCATGTAGGTCTGCAGAGAAGGTGGAAGTTGAGTCAATGTGTGCTATTCTTTTTTGAACCCAGTTGGCGAAAGTAATGGGGGCTGCTGACTGTGTCATGCACCCCCTTCTCAGGTGGGGGGGTTTGCCTATGATAGCCCTGGTAGGTGCCTGGGTACTTTCAGGATGTTTCCCGGCCAGTGCGTGTCTGTCACAGCCCTTCTGCTCACAGAATGGGGTGTTGATTGCAGTACCCTGCCGTCAGGTGTCTACAGTCTTCCCCCTAATACAACGTACGGTCATTGTAGCTGAATTTAGACCGAAAGATAGGGCGTCGTTAGACACTCCTCGGGGCGTCCTCGAGCTCCGAGGATGAATCCTCGGAAAAGTTTAGGGGTTTTGTCGTCTTCGTTACACTCATCCTTGGAGCATACGTTTTAGGACTCATCCTCGGAGCAATGTCAGGAAAAAAAAAAGGAAAATTTTTTTTTTAAAAATTGTGCTTCAGGCTTTCAGCCAATAGGGTGCCGCCACAATCCGAATTCTTGGTTGTAACGTCTCTCTACGTGCATGCCCCCTCCTCTCCGTGAGACGCGGATCCTCGGGCCCCAAAGGACCTCGCGAGGTCCTTGGGAGCTGAGGACGATTTGGCTGGGAAATCCTCGGAGCCCAAAGATTTGTCCTCGGAGTGTTTTCACATTGTCATTTCCGATTTCATCTCCGAGGACAGGTGGAATGAAGACGAAATCCTATGAATCACGTCCCCAAGGAGTGTCTAACGACGCCCATACACCAAACTCAGCTATAATGACCGTACGTTGTATTCGGGGAAGACTG